CACGTGAGGTAAATTTCCTTTTTTGCATTATTTTAGTCTTTGGCACATCTAGGATCAAACGTAAAATTATTCCATTCTGAAAGCCCGATGGCTCATTGGTACTTGCGTTTAACCGGGGGGGCTCTCATGTAAAAGTGACGTCGAGGGGTGATCGTCGGAAGTTTTGAAAAGAATCCTTACAAGGTACCAAAATCTCGTTTTGTGGGCGTGGCTCAAATTTATTTTCACTCTAACAGGTACCGTTTCTAAAACGAGAAGTAGTTCAAGATTTCACAGTGGTCATTTTAGATTTAGACACCCTAACCGTTACCAAACCACAAATTATAACCCCTAAAACTGGTGTCATTTTTATAGGAGAGTCCCCCCCCCCGGGGGCGTTTAACTCCAGTTTCCAACACGAGTAGGAGTATTGCTACTTCCCCTGGATGCATATATATGCTTCTCCATTTTGTCAGGTTACCCTAACAATTCGCCGGTACCCATTTATCATCAACTACAACAAAACCTGGATAGCCAGAGAAACACTGTTAGAGTAAAGGTTCTTGCCCAAGAACACATAAATATGTTTTAGTTGGAGTCCGTCCACAGTAGTATCAGGGGCACCCAACGACAACTGTGCTTTTTGTGCAGTTTAATGACTCATTTTTAAACGCTAAGAAAAATGTATCTGTTCGGATACCGTTAGCTGAACCGTTTCAAACTTCAGAAAATTTTAGGGATTGAAATCTTATTACCCGAATTTATGAGCTGAATTCACCTTTCCGAAAATCCTAGCTGACCTGTTTTTGTACCCAAAACGACATTTTAATTCTCTCCGAAAACAAAAGGCATTAATTTCCCCATATTTAGAAAGTTTGAGATGACATTTCCCTAACCGAATGTCTGAGGCGATTATAGGCCTTCCGAACAGATATTCCACCGAAACGATCCGCTGGGTGCACCTGTAGTATAGTCCATAAACGTTCTTCAACTCCTGAACCGGAGAAGCAGATACAGTTTGATCTGTTCGGATTCTTTAGCTCAATATTAAAGTGGTAGAAATTTTTATGAAACGAAATCTTAGTACCTGAAGCCAGTTACGCCGAGAGCTCAACTGTTGCCTTTCCGCAAATCTTAGGTAGACTTTTTTCGAAAGTTCAAGCTAGGTGACATTTGGCACTGAACTGAAAACATCAGTTTCAGTATCTAACCTATCTAAGCAGCTAAGGCCTTTTTTTAAACACAGACATAATAATCCACCCAAAAGGATTCGTTGGGTGCCTTTGTACATGTGTGCTGAAGACAAGGAATCACTTGTAGCCTCGGTGTGGCAGGCGTACGAGTGCGAAGTGCTTCGCGCTCTCTCCTCGCGCGTCACGCTCGCGATCGCGCCCGAACTCTCCTCCTCTCCTTTCTACGTCAGGCTAATACAAAACGCACATGTCGAGTTTGACGTTATACTTTCGGGGTAACTACTCACAGGATTCTACGCGTAGTCTGTGACTGGAATTTGACTGGCACTTGAGGAATTAACCTTACGCAATCGACGCGCGAGGTAATTCGATCCTAAAAACGGCTTGCAACTGTGACTGCTATATCGAGCTATAACCCCGGGCTATAACTGCTATAAATACCGTCAAAGGAAGCATATATGTGGTGCCGGTGATACACTCTCGAATGTAAGTAGAGTTTATTTTCTTCTCTGTTCCTTCTCTGCATGGATACAAATTTTGATTAACGTAACTGTCGAACAACTCGGTTTCATCGTGGAAACCCATTGCTCGGATCAGTGATGTTCTTCCTACTTAGTCATACTTAGTACACAGACACTATTTATAATCAAGAACTCTTATCCCGTCAAGTATGTGGAGTATATATGTCTTTAAATTTCCACAAGTCGTGAGCACAACAATCTGAGGAATACTTATGTTTCTGCGTAAACTGAACTAGCAGCCGTTTGGCTCTTGGAGCTTGTTGGGGTCGAGACTTTCAGGTTTAGCTATTGTAGATCCAGTCTGTCTAGTCCGGCGCGAGCGAAAAGAACGGTACGGACCAGCGACGAGTGTGGTCTGTCCACTCCCCCGACTCGCTTTGCCGCGGCCTTTTCTTTGTGCCTTATCCTCCATTGATCGAGACTACTTCCATCGATACTTCCAGGTGATCATTTATTCGTTTCCTCAGGTACGGGGGGTGCTGTTCCTGTATGAGTATGGGTACCCTGTGGAATTCATTGAGTCCGAAAAGCTGGTTGATCCAGGTGGCAATTTCAAGTACATACCAATCGAAAATTCTCGAAAAGTTCGAAATTCCAACATTTTTTTATTAGCCCAGCGTTTTGGTGCATCTTTCGATTCTTTCGACTGGTTATGCCGTTAATAACAAGACTGAGATCCTGATCAGCACCTTGAAAGAAGTTCAGTGTACACAGGAGCCATATATAATCAGGTCCCTAATTATGGCTCCAGGCTCAAATTAATTCCGGCATGCGATTAATTATTTTGCGATTAATTCTTTTGCAATTAATTTCTTTTTTGAAATTAGGGACCTTCGTATTGAAGTACGAGTACGAATACGAGAACGACTTTTCAAACCTAGTGCGCGTGCTCAAGATCATCACTTGCCGTGGAACCTTGCCGTGTCAATCGACTACCAATCTACCAATCTCGTCCCCAGATTCCACGCTTGACGCTTCTATTGGTCAGTGACAGGAAGTGAGGGCTCTAGAAACGGGAGTCCCGTTTCTAGAGCCCTCACTTCCTGTCACTGCTACGCAGGCTAAATCGCGCGCGAGAAGACCACGAGAACGACTTTTCAAAGCAATGATTGCTTTGAAAAGTCGTTCTCGTGGCCTTCTCGCGCGCGATTTAGCCTGCGTAGCAGGCGACGCAGGCGCTGGAGTACAATGAAGCGCGAGTTGGAGGGGAGCGCGCGAGATGACTGAGAAAACGCGCGCGCCCCTAAATTCTCGCGCTCTTCTCCACTCTCTACTCAGCTACGCGCGATTGGTCTAAACACATCACGTGATGCAGCCAAAACTGGGGAATATCCGATTATTATTATTATTCAACCAGTTGTAACTCTGTCCAAATATGGTCAAGATGCTCTCGATATCTGTCAGCCATATGTAACTGTGACGCTATCGTTACAGTAACGACTTGTGTTATCAATTTGTTGAATAATAAAACAATTATCCTGCTCAATCTTGCGGAATATAAATAAACAATAGCCTCCATTTGGCGCGAAAATATGCTCGGATATTTGTCCGCGGACATTATCTGTTCCGAGAAGCGAATGGGTGAAAATATTTGAAAATAAACACAATAGCCTCTATTTGGCTTCAAAAATATACACGGATATTTGACCTTGGACATTTCCTCGACAAGGAACAAATATCTGTGCAAATTTTCGCGCCAAATGGAGGTTATTGTTTATTTATGTAAACGATGGCAAGGCCGGCCAATAAAATGTCTCAATGTTGATTTAGAAAATAGGCTAGACTAATCTGTAGTAATTCACGCTGAGCTTGCATAATATTAATTTTTTTGTATACATCTGTGTTATTCAACTGATAGATATAGACAGGAATGGAGAACTGGTGGTATGGACAAGCATTATAACAGCCAGGCTGATCTGTTTGGTTCCCTGGGAGGTGACTGCCTTGATAAGTATAAGTACAAGACATACGGGACTTCACATGAATGCAATGTACCCTGGTATTACCACAAATGACTTCCCAACTGAACCGGAAACTAACTTGTTATACCTGTTTTACTTGTGCGTTTTAACTTAAATTAATTATAAACTTGTAAACTGATGTAGATCTAGATATAAATTTAAGTAAACGAATTAATTCGGAAAGCAATTAATTCATGAATAAAAGAACTAACAGTTATACAAATGTTTGAATAATATTCCTTTTAAATTTCGTTTCTGACTTGAATTAGTAATAGCAGAGGTCTATAACTAGAGGTTTCCATCTCTGGTATTGGGTCTTGTCCCATCCGAGATTCACGTTCAGGCTATTTTTAGACCATTTTCCCGCGAACCAGTAGCCAATCACGTTGAACCATTTTTAATGCGCGCGCTACGCAAAGGCAGAAACTTTGGCCAAAGAAGAGCGAAAAAATAAAAAGCGATTTTTAAACGTCACAGCAGAATGGCATAATTGTTTTATTAAATATATTTGTCGGACATGGTGCGTGATTGGCTGCTGGTTTCTCGGGAAAATAGTCTAAAAATAGCCTGAACGTTAATCTGATGGGCCGCGCGCAATGCTAGATGGAAACCTCTAGTTATAGACCTCTGGTAGCTAATCCCTACGGATCTAAATTTAATAAATAACTAATTCAGTATAGTGCTTCCACTTCATAGAAGTTCTAAGCGCTTTAAAAAAATGGATAAAACTAAGTACAGTTATTATAAATTAAATAAAGGGTAAACATTTCTTAACTTAAAATTTGGCTTTAACATACATTGTACCTCATCTATTAATTTCCAATTTTGAAAATCATAAGAATAATTATAATAAAACACGCACAGCATTCAAATCACTATTGGGTTTAGTAAATGATAGCATCCTTGAAAAAAAAGAAAGAATACAATTGACAATTGTATAAGGAAGTCAACAACTCGGCAATCAGTCGCGAACCTGAATCTGCCTCGTTCCAGTGGTCTTTCTTGAACCGCTGAGTGGAAGGCACTGTGAACGAGGTTGATCCTCGGTTGATCCGGTATAGTGGACAAATTTGTCATTTGCCCGGCTCTGTTTCAATATGAGGACGGGTGCAAAACCCTTTATGTTCATACCGGTCTTGATTCAGGCCTCATTGCGAAACAGAGGGGCATTTTTCGCATTCGGTATTTATTCGAAAAAGCGCCGCAGCCGCAGCGCTTAATTACTTTTTTCGACTTTTTGATGCGGCCCTTCAGTCGAGGGCGGCGTTTTCTTCTCGAGAGAGGAGCTTATTGAAAACTAATTTTTGAATAAAACATAACTTCTAGGTTTTCTTAATTTCTTTGGAGACGCAGTGGCCTAATGAATGGTCTGCGCGTTGGACTCCGGATCGAGCGGTCTGGGTTCGAGCCCAGACCTGGGTCATTGGTCATGATTGGTACCGGCGACAAAATGCTAAGGGTAACCTGCGATGGACTAGCATCCCATCCAGGGAGAGTAGCTCCATACTACAGAAACCGGAATAAGCTCCGTCAGTGTGGGCCAGTTTGTCCCGAGTGCGGCTATACCTTTACGTTACTCTGTTCTCTAAAAACGATAGCAGCAACAACTCAGTTTAAAATATCATTCAAACTGTCTCCTTCCCGATCGGAATGAGTAACTGCATGGCCCCGTCGCAAAAGCGCCGCTCTAGTGAGCTCAAGTACTTCGAATAAGCGCTACGTTGTTGTTGAGGGGTGTGCCGCTTATTGAGTATTTTTGCTCTCAGGTGCGGCGTTTTTTCGGGGGCGGCGCCAGTTTTTGCTCTCATGTGCGGCGTTTATTCGGGGCGGCGCTTTTTGCTCTCATGTGCGGCGTTTATTCCGGAGCGGCGCTTATTTGTGGGCGGCTCCGCAATCCTACAACCCCGTGAGGGGGTAGGGGGAGCAGAGATGGGGCGCTTTTCCGCATTTTTCTATGTTATAACTATAGTGAAATGAGCGCATTTTCACTTGTTTTGATTTCTTTTGAATCTAGTTGGCTATGTATTTTAGATTTAAATCTAGTATATTCTGATAAATACATGCCCTCAAGGCTAATATTCAAACCTACTGACGTCACACGATAATTATATGGTAATTAACGTGTTAACTAAACGAACGATTGGCGTCGGGTTCGCAATGATGGAGATGCAGTTAAAAACAGCTGTATGTGGTAAGAGGCACAAGCTGGTAACATACAGGCTGAATAAACTGCTGTCTGACTTGCATTCAGGATCACAAAGGAACACCACAAATGAGCTCATCAGGTACTGTTCTCTAGTTTCTAACACACTTATGTATGTATCAGCAATACATTTTAACTGGCCAGCCTTCAGTAGTGTTACTTAATAGGAGGGTGTCACGCGAACATTTCAGTTGTGTTAATCCGGCCGGATTACGCAAAATGCTGTGAGGAAGTTTTCTTTTTGTGTTTCAAGTCAATGCCACGTTTCCACAGTCTTCACAGTACTCACCCCCGGCAGTTGAGTAAGAATCGAACGCGAAGAAAAATGAATACGATGTATCGGACAGTGCATAAGCTTACTTAATCGACAAAAGGATCACAATATTCAAATTTCAATATAGTTGATTCAGATGGAGTCGTTTGTTCGGCCGTCAAGTGCGTTAGGACCTTTATCAAAGCCGGTTATTGCCGGGATATGTTTTCTTTCTACCTCGCTGGGTACTGTACTGTAATCACTCGGCTTAGAGCGAGAAGCAATTGACTGATAGGAAATGCTCTCAAAATTAACGAACTTTTGAATTTACAGAATCTATTATCAATCTGCAGCATATATATCTATCTGTTCTACTTTTTCCCGCTTCCCGAATGATCCTTTCCGTTAATGATGTCATTTCCGACGAAGACCAAGAGTTTTCTCGTTGAGTTGTTTTCTGTCGCTTGAGTTAACTTCAATGGAATTCATGCTCTTTCGGAAACGGCTATTGACACTGCGAACTTAAAAAATAATAGTGATATTGACCCAGAAGGCAACTGTGCGTATCGAATAGTCAATACGGACAACAACATGTTGAAGGACTTACGTCACAGCTAGAGACAAATGTTGTGTCTTTAAACAACTACTTGTGCTGCCGGGAAACAAGAGATAGCTGACGTGAGGCGAATTTTTCGCGCGAAATCGTTACGTTCTTCACTATTTATCATTGGCAAATTTTATCTCCAGCAAAACTATTGGGCAATTTCTATTGCTTTTACAAAGGAACTTTAACTTTGTATTATTAATTCATCTTTATACGGTATGTTTATATATTTAAAAATAGAGTATTTAAGTTGTGTTATTTTGTTTCCACAAAACACGAAGGATGAAATTAAAATAACGAAACTGATATAAACTGATGAGACCTCGAATGGTCAGAATTAACTGACGAACGTATGTTCTGAACCCATTGAGGACTCATGAATCTCCTGTTAAACTTGACTCTAGCAAGCCCGTAAAGAGCAGAAACAGTCAGTTGACATACTAAGAACTCTGTAGCATGCATAACAATAATTATTATTTTAAAAGTAAAAACATGCTTTTCTTTTTAAAAAATATTTTCAGTGTTGAGTTTTGTTAAAATCGCTAGCTTATAAACCTTTTAATACCAGATGCAGTATATCATTAATTCACACCATTACCATGTTTTCTTATGATCTTATTCTTATCTGCTGTTCTCATAAATATCTGACGGGTCATTTTGTGAAAGCAAGTACAATATCACTAACATACATACTATTTACTTTTCCTAAGACGTTCATTATCTCACGTTGTCAGTATTAGTGCTGCAATTATGTCCTTAAAAAACGCATCAATCTTTCACCAAATGACAGACGAAAACATTCCATTCTTTTAATTCCAGGTGAAGTGATCAAAAATTGGAATTTGGACATCAAATTTAGTCTATATAGATAAGCGACAAGAAACTGATAATGTATGTCTTAAGGAAAAGTTTAGCGTATGTTCCGTTTAGTTTATTTCATGTCTAACTCTTGAATGATTATCAGATTTTAATTGTGCTGATAGCTAGTAACTCTCTCGCTTTTTTTAAATATTTGTTATATATTCAGGAATAACTGATTTATGTCCAGAATTTGCTCGAAACTGATAGAAGTTGGTGAATCAAATGAGTGGAATGGAACAAAATGGAGGTATGTAGTATTATGTATTATTCAGTTGCCTTTTCAGGTTTATTTATCGTTGGGAACTATTTCTACGGTGACGTTTTTCGATGCGTTTTTCCGGCGTTTGGCTAACGACATAAAATCTGTCTTGTACCGTCTTATGATGGGAACTCACACGGAAATCAGTAAACTTGGCTTGTCTACTGACCAATCGATCAGCGAAATACGTCGGTCAGAAAAGCAAAAATGAGGCAAACGCTGTTTATATGAAAACCGTGAAATAATGGAATCCGATCACAGATGATTTCATAAAATCCGATTTAGTTTAGTTCGCCATGATAATTTACAAATAATCTTACAGTTAAATAAAAGCCAAAAAATAAAAATTAAAAAATAGTGGCGGGAGAGAGGAACAGAACTTTCGTTCCACTTGACACCTGACTCCCTTTATGAAAATACGTATAAATTTAAAATTTACATATAGAAAATACTACTAAATATAGAGTCTGGAAACTCAATATATCTGGCAAAAGAGTTAGCAGATCAATCAAATTTCAGAACTGTAGATATGACAGAAATTAAGCAATCCAGGTTTCCCGAAGACAACACTAAAATATGAGAAATCAGTTTTGTTTTCCGCGGACATTGTCAATGTTTTTCAGACACTGTATGGAAAAAAACTTGATTGAATGTTTCCCAGTATATCTACAGCAGTGTCTACAGTTCACAAATCCGATCCGCCATCGATATCTAAAATTAATCGACTATGAATATCTCAGGAATCTAATTTCTGAAATTTTTCATTTGAAATGTTGGAATTTTTCCGCGAGTTTATTGTCTATATGCCAAAAAGAGGTTTCTATGGCAGCTCAGTTGAGTCATGATTGTAAAGTTCGTATAAATTTCGATATCGGCTGCTTCCGGAATCATTAACAGTCGAATAAAAATTTCAACAGTTACCGTAAAAGCTCTATTAATTTTGTAATAAGCCCCACCCCATTTATTATGAAACCATAGACAGATGTCAAAACACCAAAAATCTTTAACTGATGCTCAGTATAATGACGTTACATATTCTCTTGGTTTTACTTAGTGCAATTACAGCACTAAAAATATTAATTTGATTTTTTGAATAAATCCCCCTCTAGTCTCTAATAAGCCCCCTTGAAGCCTAAAATTAAATAAGCCTCCCCGGGCTTTTACGATATTTCTTTGCCGGAGATTACGATCTCTTTCTATTTTCTTTTCCTTCTCCAAAAAGAACACTTTAACGATCAGGTGTCACAACAGTATTTTTTTCATTGACAGTTTTACGTAATGGCGACGTCAAACAACAAAACCGGCTCACCAGATCTCAAATGGACAAAATAATACAGTCGTCACACACCCTCTCTGAAAAGGATGATGAGGAGAAAGGCCAGGTTTCCCCTCTGCCTGGCTCCTTGGTAAACCTAGATATAGTAACCTGGCCAGCAGATGAAGAGCCGCAGGGTCAAGTTCACGTGACTGTTATACAATCAGGACAGGTCAGTAGTAGCTTACCAGGCGCTTAACTCTCGGTTTCCATAGCATGAAGTCACTAGGAGTATCGCTACTCCATGGATGGGATGCTAGTCCATCGCAGGTACTGACAATTCACCGCCGGTACCCATTTATACTCCTGGGTGGAGGGAGGCACTATCAGAGTAAATTTAAATTGTCTTGCCTAAGAACACAACACAATGACCCCCGGCCAGGGCTCAGACACGGACCGCGTGATCAGGAGTCCAACGCGCTAACCATTAGCCACCGCGTCTCCCACAGGTTATTGCATTACTCAAGAGAAAACAAGGGACAAGCACACTGTGCGAACCAGGGGGGGCTAGCAGTGAGGCCTGGGACCTAGTATATATGATTGCACATTTAAGAAATTTGGCCGAGCGAGACTAAGTACTGGTTTGTTTAAAATAAACATGGCGGACGATGGCGGACATGACGTACGTTTGTGTTCGTTCAGAAATATTTTGGCGATTCCACGTTCAAACATCTATGGGAACGATTCGGTCGCTGTTTAACTGAACTTTGGTCATTGTGGGACACCATGGATGAAAATTCCACAGCAAACTCCCGTAGAGGTACGTTTCTCGAATGATTGACAGATTTCTTTACTTGTGCGATCATGTATAGCGGAAAAGCGGCAAGATCAAAGGGCGCTGCCTGCCCCCCCTGGTGCGAACCAATGAATCAGTCCGTATTTGTGCGAGTTCGTGGATTTGGCTAATCAGCTGACCAACACTGATCTA